AAGCTTCCTGATAATACATTTTAATACTTTATAACTTCACCTAAAATAAGACAATTTTCTAAAAATTTACGCCTAGTACGACTGACTAAAGCTTATATAAGTACTTGTTTAGTCTCAAATTTAACCAACATTAAGGCTAAAAACCCAGTTTATTTTCGCTCTTAACCTAACTCTACCCACAATGTAGCTGTTTTGAAATTTTTACAATTACGAATCTCAATACACTTTTCGTAACAATTTTATGAAATTTCTTCAAAAAGTCAACGGTATATCGATGCTCATATAGGTACATAAAAGAGCGAAGTTTCACTACAGAAAAAAATACGCTTTACTCAATTGGTATGATTAATTCAAAACTATTATTATATAGTCTCTCAATTAGAAAAATCAAAAGATCAAAGACACAAACCGATGAACTACCTATTACCTACATCGTTTATAAATCTCATAAGCGAACCCTGCGAAGATGCAGGTCTTTTATAGATACATATCTATTTTGAGAATTGTCAGCGATATTTGGTGTTAGCGGATCAATTCCTTTCTGTTCTTATGCTGAGAACTACCTGTTATAATATTTAATCTTCACTTATTTATTTTTAAAATTAAATCACAAAAAAATTACTTATAATTTTAGTCAAACCTTACCTAACCTTAAAATCATATTTTAACTGCTCGAACAAATTATTAAATCATCGGCAAAAGCATAACAAAACGTTGGGACAAGAAGCTTGGAATTTTAGGGATTAGTTTTTCAAAGATATACAATATGTATAACATGAAACATTACAGCTATGACGTCGAAACTATTCAACAACTTATCGAATGGGGCTACAAAAATAAGGAGAAACTGAAAACAAAAATTCGTTGAAGGCACTAAAGGCCATCCCAGCCGAGACCTAACTTAACAAGTGTATGGAAAATTTGGTAAAGCATTTGCCTATTTTAAAAGCGGTAATACATGAAATTTTTTTTTTTTGTCAATCCGGATCATATTTGGTCAGATAGTATAGTTAGATACTGAGATGTGGATATGGAAATATTTAGTGCAATATGCTTTATTTGGAAATTAGCATATGTACAATGCATATAATATTTATTGCTCACAATCATAATTTAAATTTAATTGCTCATATATCTGTCAACAAAATATTTTTTATCATCTACCCACAAAGCTTAAACGCACAGGCGATATTTATGACGATAATTGAGGTAATCAAATCAAAAGCTCGCTAAAAACAAAAAAAAAATATTAATGCAAATAAACAAATGAATTAATATGCAGTTTAATTTTCAATTCGATTAATGATTATTGGTTAAGTTGTTAAGTTATGTTATGTTACGTTGTCTCTTTATGAATATGCGCATATAAATCACATTAAAATAGGTGACTTAATATGAACTCAAAAAATTGTAACACCTACGTTTAACGGTATAAAATACAGTAATATATGTATATGTAGTAGGTGCTAAATTAAGTAATAGTGTCAGCATATACCATACATATATATATATATATATATATATATACATAATATATGTGCTTTATGATTTTTTTATTTGAAAGCTAGCTACAAGTATCTTAGAAAATATTGCAACAGATTAAGGCGAATTAAACTAAAGCGCATTTATTACGATTTATTATAAAATATGGGCATTTATTTTCACTTTATTTTAGCTCTATTTAAAGTTCCTAGATTAATGCATTATTCAAAATAAAATAAAACATCAAAGTCTCGAGTAAATTTGTTGGAATAACTTAAATTATTTTAAATCGACTTAAACTTCTTTCATATATTGACATGGATATTGACTTTGAATTTATAAATTTTATTAACAAGTAGTCGAATACTATAATGCTACTAATTATTCTGCAGAACATAAGGCTCGGTACATATCGAAGCAAAACGCAAAATACTGATGTAAGAAGAAATAAAATAAATAGAAACGACATAGCAAAACAAACCTTTGGGAACAACCAATTTTCCACCAACAAAATTACAATAAAATATCTAAATTTTTACTAATATAATCTTATCTAAGAAAGACTAACTCAATTCTGCTAATTATTCTTAAATATGGTCGATATTTTAAAGTAAAGAGTGTGCTCGCAACAAAAAATATATTTATATAGACATACATATGTATTTATATATACCGATAGCCGAGGGGCTTCGAAATGACTTAGAGTTTCTACGAATATAGTGAAAGACTGCCTTGATATCTTAGTGGATCTTACATCCTATTTCACGATAAACGTGCAATAAGTTGCAGGACATAGTTATATTCCTGCTAATTGTGAAGCAGAAGAACTAGCGAGAGCAGGCACCATATCGAGGGTTTCATTGCGGTGTCTCGGAAGTTGCACATATACAACTTTTTGTATTGCCGCACTTCATCGGGTGGTTCAGAGATCATATAATAGAGTAAGGGTATTTTAACTCCGGTGGTTTCACAATGGGCCTCCTAAAGGTCTAGCTGCTTCGTCAGACATCCACCCTGCCTACCTACCTACAATGGATCAAAATTCTCATTTTTAAGGCAATTAATCATATCGTAATGTTACAAAAATTGCCGTTATTTTCTATTTTCTTCTTGCTTGCCTCTAATGTTTCATTGTTCTAAGCCTAAGCTACAAACACCATTAATAAACTTCGATAGCAAATAAATGATTTTTACAAATTCATTATCTACATCTTTTTAATTTATTATAAATTTCACACATTTATTCTATGGTGAACTAAAATACTATTTTTAGAACACGTCAAGTTTTCTATAATGAAGCATAGAAAAAAAGGGAAAAAAAATACAAAAACTTCATTATTATCTTTCATTTATTATGAATTTTTGGTATTTTGAAGACTATTTTTTCCACTCGAATATTATGACCTAAAAAGGCACGTCATGAAAAGTTAGTTTCGTGTAGAAAAATTTGCATAAATTTTTAAAGAAGAGTTTAGTGTTTTTTTACAACAAAATTAATGCGTGGGAATCACCTGTAGTAGGCAAATACAAAGTAATCAAAATGCAAATTTTAATAATATGCACAAGTTATGTTTCCCATTAAGGGCGGCTTAAACACATGTAGTACAGTAAAACCTGCCTAAATATAACAACACAGTGACTACTTCTAGGTACCTTCATACTTTGGAGTCAGTTTGTACTTATTAAATATTGAATGAAGTATAAAATAGTACAAATATTTGAACTTATAATAAATCATGAACCCGGTACAAACAAAACTCAGCCATCGATTTTTTGTGTTTACTTTTCTTCTCCAGCATTTTCCGAATACTAATACTACAAAGTTGTATTGTGTGATCTCCGCATTATAATGTCACATATTTTACAAAATCGCATGCAAAAGTGGAATATTATGTTAAACGTTTTCTTAGTAAAATGCCGTTATTTTTTTTTTCAGCTCCAGCTATTGTGCTGTGCATAACCGGCCTTGCTCATTTGCTTTGGGTATATTTATAAGTAAGTGCTTGATCATATCTACAGTATACTACATAATGCATATCGCATTACCCTTTTTTGCATCTTTGTATTTTGCTCTATTCATAAAGACACGCAAAGATAGCAGTTTTTATCAAGTTCAGTACTTGCAGCTAAGAAAAAATTGCATCAAAGCGTGGAAAACTTGACAACACTTGCACTTCAAATATCACAATTATAGTGACAAACACCTTGTACATACAATATACTATATCTAGATAGCTATATAGGTGGGCCTATGTATATATTGATATATAGCCGCATTCTTGTTAACCCAGTAAGCAATTAGTAGAACTAGATAAAACGGTCATTATACTGTCCTTCAATATTTCAGTGAAGCAACAATTCCATCGAAGGGATATAGATCTAATGTACGTTTATATAAAACTGGGTACATGGTGGAGTGTTAAAACAAATCAGTGATATCAGATGATAGTAAAAAAGTGCTAATGGTGAGTGTCACTCCCATTCTATCTATAGCATATGTTATAAGCTTAAGTAACATCAGTTAAGCGGCACACCTAGTATCACAGCCTAAACAAAGAAAATTTTTTGAAATTTTAACGGCATATTTATACATATTTTGAAAATACAGCAAATTTTTTGAAGAAATAATTTAAGTATTTTTCGGGTTACACGCGATCTTCCACTGCTGCAGTGATTCCGTCCTTCTCCGTGGATTAAACCAAAAAAAAATGCTCTACTAGAAGATATTATCCGTACCATGACCTGCGGTTGAAAAAAATCGAAAATTGACAAAATGGCATTGTTTTAAAAAAAAAAAAGTTAAATACTGGTTCTTTTTGGGCTGGTTCTTTTTTGGGCAAAATTCGATTTTTGATTGTATCAAAAAACTGGTGGGTCATTGTATGGAAAACTATATACTCGTACAGAACATACTTGAATTTGATAGAGTTCGTATTTTTTATCTCCGAGTAATCACTCAAGCAAATTTGAAGAATGTAGATTTGAGAAAAACGCGTTTAAAGATAATTTGATAAAGCTGATTAAACTGATTGAATTTAGCGGCTACACTTTAGAAAGCTCAAACTCAAAAACTATTTGAAATATAGGTGGCAAATTTTAATATGTTATTTTCAAAGATTTAAACAGTGAAAAAATTTTATTTTTAATTTCAACCTACGTGGGCCCCCTAAATCAATACAAGTGTATCAAAGTGGTATAACTGGGCTCCATTTTTCGCCATTTTGAATATACCAATACTAATAATTTATACCAGTTGTTTGGTTATGCGAATCGAAGATACATGATAGCCAGTATAACTATACATATTCATATTTATCTTTTAATCCATTATATACTAACATACATTGTGCTTCCATTTACTATGTACTTATCCTAAACTAAGCCATTTCATACTTCAAGCTATTTGAAAACTTAAGGTTATTTCTTAAATCTTGTTTAGGGTGGCCTCCGAGTGAATAATGTGGCAAGTTGGTTCTAATATATACGTATAAACAGTTTTGATAAAAGAATGAATTTACCATAAATATTCGCGAGTCAATTCCGATCCAATTTTGATATATCCCCTCATTCTGAACAAAAATCGTGATATCAATAGTCTCAGATATGGCTATAAATGTATACTCAATACTCAGTAGTATAGCACCGTACCTGGAATACAAAAATAAAAAATTAAATAAATATTTTTATAAGGTGTCATAAAACTTAAGTATTAAAAAACTATGACGTGAAAAATTAATATACAGCTATGTTATAGTGTGTATTTGGGTAAGGCAAATTGTCAAAAGTAAAATATGTCTAAATTATTCTTCCTTAAATAAGTATTTTTTAATAAAAGCACACTGCTTTTTTAATTTCATAAATCTCTATTTTTGTAACTTTCAATAAGAGCTACATTTCGATCTTGTAATCGTAGTTTATGTTGCACATATTCTTGAACTCTTCGCATATAGATTATGGATAAACAGCTGCCCACCCTAATGCTTATAACATATGGCTTCCAGAATTATAATTTCTATATTTTTGATCTCAATTTCTAGTTACGATTTTTAATTCGTATCTATCTATTTACAAAACTATAGTTTCAAATTTTAAATATACCAACAAAAATGCTGACTGGGTTATTTATACGCTTCTGCCTTGTGTACTCAACCGTTAAATAAGTGGATGTAAGGCTGTGAGCATGGTGTTACATTTCTGATTACATATTATATACATACATATGCACTTATATTTACATACTACAACAAGTGAAAAGTGACAAATGACAAGGTGTTATACTTATTTCTTTAATTTTCTTTTTATTTAGCTTTATTTTTCCAGCCTGGGCTCTACCATATATACAGCTACACTTCCTATTCTCTCCCGCTTCGTTGCAGCAATATTTATATTTATATTACAGAGTTTAAATTTTAACGATTTGTGACGACTTTGTCGGCGCTTTGTTTATAGTTTATGTCTAATGGTGCTCGATAAATGTTAAGCAACTAAAATAAGATCTATAAAGCATTTAAAAGTGAAAAAAACATAAAAAAATATCTTCACTTATTTCAGGTCTGGCATTTGTTATTTTTCTTTTCTGTATTATAGGAAAGAGCAAGTCATATTTAATTTTTATTGAAGTCTGTCACTTCTTTAGGTAACCGAGTAGAAGAGAAAGCACAACTCAGATAAGATTTCCTTGAAAAAATGTAGCAACACTGAAAATATTATGGTTGCCAAATGTTGCCAAAAAGTATGCTCCATTTTGTTTGCAATCAGCAAAATAATTGGGTTCTTGTTGATTTTTTGTATGCTGCTGGCTTAAAAAAAGAAAGTGGTAACGGTTGTTTGTATAACCTAAAACTAATCAAGATAAATATAGGGTTATGTATATATTGAGTAAAAATTGAGATATCTTAATACACGTGTTCCTCAGCAAAGAACGGAGGACGAGTTCGTAGATAGATACAATCGGGCCACTGCCACGCCCACAACACGCCAATAATCGAAAACCTATAAATTGTCATAACTAAGCCGAAAATTAAGATACAAAGCTGTAAATTGGTACAACGAGTCACAGTAACGAGGGACACCAGTGCATTGAAAAATTTCAAAAAGTGAGCGTGGCCTCGCCCCCTCATAGGATTAATATATTAGATGTAGTAAAAAGAAATCAATTACTTTCCCAATAGATGGCGTTATTTATCTGTTTCTCGCGTTGTATAAGTCCGATTGGGTTCCGCTAGATGGCGGATTTTTGACTTTTTTCAACCGTAGGTCATGGTACGGACAATATCTTCTAGTAGAGCATTGTTTTTGGTTTAATCCATGGAGACGCACGGAATCGCTGCAGCTGTGGAGAACCGTTTTTTTAGCGCCGTCGAAGATCGCGTGTAACCCGAAAAATATTGATATTATTATATATTATATTATAAAAAAATTTACTGTATTCTTAAAATATGTGTAAATAAGCCCTTAAAATTCCAAAAGTTGTTTTTTTTTAGGCTGTGTCACTAGGTGGGCCGCTTAACTGATGTTACTTGGCCAGCTTTGGCCAATAGGAGCAGAATTGTGTTCCATCAGGACAACGCCAGGCCACTCACATCGATGGTGACACGATTATATAATATAAATTTCCCTGACAGGAAGTAAAATATAGTTATAAAATTAATTGAGTATATGATCTATATTTCAATTTCATCGTATAAAGAATATGGAATTCATTCGAAAAATTTTTTAATATGAACGAACTTAGTCCTTCCTTACTTGTTTTACTTTTTTTCATTTTACCATTTTTTGCTATCGCTTTTGATGCATAAATCATATTCACATCGCGCTGAAATGCAATCGACATATTTTGTCGCATTGATTTATGGTCAATTGGCAACGTAGGCGTTTTTTATAGGCAGTGTCAACAAGAAAATTGTACAAAAACATTTTTTTCGATTTACACATATTTTTGTATGCAACAAATATTGGCCACATGGCCACACTTATTTGGCACTTCACTTCGATATAAATGAAGAATGCGAGGAAAGAAAAGCGCCTAAAAAGTATTGCGACTGCCTGCGAGCTTTTCTATTATGAATGATATATTTTTACATTTCCAATTACTTTTATTTTTACTATCAATTTTGTTTTATATTACTACTATTATAGTCCGTTCATATCTTTGCGGAAATCCGGCTGACATTTTACTCTGCAATGCAACGATTTGCAATTTTTCGCGCCATTTATTTGCAGCCGTGCGAGAAGAGAGGTTGGTTAAGCAACATCCAATATTTCTACATATGTGCAACCATATCCATATATTATTTGTATATATATTATTTTGATTATATAAGCAATTTCAATTTTGCATATTCCTACAACAAAAGTTTTTCGCCTCATGCTAGCCTTTCTAAACTCTTACTCACACATATAATAATAAACCTAACTTTAGCCCTAATTCCATATACCTACAATTCCCGCTGGGATTTCTGTAGTAAAATACATGTTCCTGTTACAAGTTTTTGTTGCTTTTTTACCAAGCTTTCGTCTTGTGATTTTATGTCTTTTTATCAGTTTTCCATTTCTTTGTTATTGGATATGCCTGTTTGGATTTTTTTGTACCTTTCTACAGCTTCATCTGCAGCGAGTTTTTCCAGTTTCTGCAGCACACAAGCAAAGCTACAAATTTCCACGTATGATTTGCTTTGCGTTTTCTGTTTTATCAGATTTCGAGATATGCAACATTTTTTCTTCTTCCCCTGTCTCTCTCTCACTCTCAGTTTTTCTCGGTCTGTTCGCGCCTTTGCCTTTACTGGCTTTGCTGGCAGCTTTACCGTTTACTTATCGAAAGTTGATACCCATGAGTGGAGTCTGAAGTGTTTAGCATCTGTACTAAATGGATATGCGCATGCACTTTGTATTCATAAATATACATATGTGTATATGTATGTATGCATAACCGTACGTGCACAATACTTGCGTCGAGTTATTGCCTGTCAAAGTAGTAGAAACAGGTGAATTTCGGCAAGTCAAACAATGTTTGCAACATTTGCTATGTTGGCGCAAATGCTGTTTGGTAGTTACTAGATTATAAGGTGACCAACAATATTAAATTTTTTTTCATATTTTTATTTCGCCGAATTTTGAAATGGAATATCGAAATATATCACATGTATGACTTTCACCCGAAATTTTGTGAGTTGAAAATAAAGCTGAATAAAAATTAAAAATTACTACTGTTTTGTAAAATCGGGTAGATGTTTCCCATAGCCCTCGTATAATTAACACATATTTTCAAAATTCAAAAGTTGACTTTATACCATACATATCGGTTAATACATATGTGAAGTATCTTAATGAAAGTGAGGTAGCATTTGTCTCTGGTAACAATATGTTTTTGTGCCAAAAATGTATGTTATGTAAACCTTTCACAATTGAAAATATTTTCCCCGGCTTTGGTATTTGCAAATTGCGAGAGTATAAAATATTCGGTTACAGCGAAACTTAGTTTTCGATTTCCTTAGTTTACGATTCGATGATTTTTTTCGTTTTTCAAAATTAGACTTCGTATTCGAAATATGCGCCTTCGAACTTTTCTTATTAAAAAACATCAGTAATGGTCATAGAAAGTTACAAAAGAGTAAAAATTAGGACATCATTCACGTTTTCCTTAGATTTCAATGGTATGCAACATTTTTTGATCAAATTTTTATAACATATACTATCTTCGAAAAAAAAACAATTTAAGTTCAACAACTGACCTCATTTTATAAAATATGCAACATTGAAATAAGAGAAAAACGTCGTTAATAACTATTTAGAAAATTATTTTCAATAAGCACTATTTCGAACTTCGAAATATTTCGATTTTGGTGGCTAATTTCGAAAAATGAGAAATAACTTTTTACTTATGACCAGGGTTGCAAATAATGCATTAAAATAATAGTGGAATTAACATTTGACTTACAACTTGTTTTATTAATTAATTCTTAAAAATTTATTTTTAATTTTCAAACCCAACTAACGGATTGAAAAATAAAAGGAACAATTTTTATCTCAAGCATATAATTAAGAATTAAAAAGAATTGGTTTTTGGATTATTATTTTTACGCGTTCATTCAAATCAAAACATAATATTTTCAATTTTTCATCCCAACATCGGATCCTAAAATTTTTGGATCAGAAACTTCGCAAGCCTGCTTATGACTCAATTACTCGGAAAAAAATGGTTTGGTCCAATATCCAGCAGAGAGATGTTGTGTAATATAATAAACTATTTTTTGTAGTAATTAACAGTTATTTTGAATTTAAAATAGTAGTCGTAATAGTAAATAAATATATATATACTTTTTTCATAAAACAACTGGTCACTCTAATCATCCAGGAAAATATGTGTAGTATGTGTGCTCACTTGCAAGCAATATTTGCGCAGAGTTCTGGTAGTAAAACGAACGACATAAAAGCATTTCAGCCAAAATACAAAACTGAATATCTCCATACTTAGATTTACATATACGATTATAGTAGAGTAGTAACTTTTTAAGTTCAATAATTACGAAGGAATGTAAGCTCTAGCCAACTATCAGCCTTAAGCAATCATTCTAATATCAAACCAATGACCTGTGTCATATTGTAGTCCATTAGAACACATCTTAAACTAGAGAACATACACATACAAA